TTACAAATAAGGAATCCTACTTCGCGGAATTTCATTTATCACGGTAGGATCTAGAACCGATTAACCGCGATAAACGAGGGTTCACTTGTATGTAGATCCCTGTAATAGGTTCCCCCTTTCTACTACTCCCTCCCTCCACGGAATTCATATAATTCTTCTGTGAACTAAACAATAATGGTGAGTCACCTTCCTCTGTGAGATCGAGGAAGTAGAAACTATCAAAGGATTCCTAAAAATGATGTAGTTTAAAATAAGGAATCGAGAACTCTTTAGAAACCCGAGCTCTGTCCCATCCTCCATCTCCAATTTTCATATAAGTAATCAATGAAATATACAAATGAGGTATACCTGCAATAGTGCTGGTATCATGTGTTTGAGACTATTGGAGAAATGTCTACAAGATTGAAGAGTTAATGAAAGGAACTCTCCACTGAGACCCCATGATTTTATAGGTAAAGATCTGGAGGTTTGACTACAAAGAAAAACCAGCTGAAGATCTATATTGGCTCTCTTGCCTCTGAAATCTAACATATCATAAGCCACTCATTCAGCAATGGTAAAGTGAAAGGTTGACTATTTATGATAGTGACCACACCCAGAATTTATCTGGCGAGGCTACACATTTGTCCTTCATAGATTTATTACTTGTTTGCATTTCCTCTTGTAAACTGCTTCCTCTTCATAAGGGTCTGAAACATCAATTTTTAAAGTTAACAATAAGAAAATGTTTATTGCTGTTGATATTGTAAAGCTAGTTTCTTTTCCCATGACTATTTTGTTGTATTTTCATTAGAAAGATGAGAGTAACACATGCGCAAATGCAAACTGTGTAAGTTAAAGATTAAATAAAAATCGTATCTGTATTTTATGTCAACTTGAACCTATGTGAAAGCATAGAAATGGAGTCCAACCTATCGATCAAGTCTGATGATGACAGCTCCTTGGGGGTGTGACTGTTTCTATAAGAGGGACAGTGAGAACTTCTTTCTGTCTCTCTCTGCCCCTTCACCTTCCCTGGTGCTGGAATTCTGTGCTCCTCCAGGGGTAGCCCCACTTGAGCTTCTGACCCTGGGAGACAACCTGGGAGTTTTAGGCACCCTCCCACATTCCCCCTGACCTTGGATCCACTCTACTTTGCACCTTGTGGCTTGTGATTGCCCTGCTTCCCACTTCAGCTGTCTGCATCATTGGGCTGGGCTGTGATCAGTCTGAAGAAGTCTCCAGCTAACATACTACCCAGAGACTTGGGTTGGGCTGGGCTAGGACGTCTTCTGGATGCACTTCACTTCTTGATGTAAAGTGCTTCCATACAAATATGAGTTTCACTGCTTTTGTTTTTCTAGACATCCCAGCCTAACACAAGCCAAGGTCAGTGGGAACATGCCAGGGATCCAACAGCTTTCCAGGTAGGCTCCCAGGGTCAGTGGCCCACCTGGGACCACCTCTTGGTGCATACATAGAGTCACAGCGAGGCAGATGGCAAAGGGTAAGATGAAGGGAGAAAAGTTCTCAGTGCTTGGGGAAAGGAAGATTTAACATTGAGAAAATATCAATACTGCCTAAAGTGCTATACAGGTATAATGTATTCATGATCTAGAGCCCAATATCATTCTTTAAAGAGATGGAAAATCTAATCACCTAATTTATGTGGAAAGGAAAGAGACTTCAGATAAGCAAATCACTACTAAAGGAGAAGTCTTAGGTGAATATTTCTCACTTCCTGATCTCAAAAGAAACGAAAACCCAATGAAACAGAATTGAGAACCCAGAAGTAATTCCATACAACCAAAGACAGCTGATAATTGACAAAGGATTGAAATACATAAAAGGGAAGAGATCATCTCTTTAGAAAATGGTGAGGGTGGAACTGGATCTCCATTTGCATAAGAATGAAAGAGGTCCCATATCTCACATTATATAGAGAAATTAATTTAAGATGGATAAAAGACCTAAATAGAGTAACCTAGGACTCTAAAAATTATTAACGAAAAAATATGTAGAAACATATGGGTCCAAATATATGGCAGAAATACACCATTAAACACAAGAAAACAAGCAAACGAAAAACAAAAGACAAAATAGATGACTGTGTGGTCCTAAAAATTAACATTTATATGCATAAAAATATTTGTTCTTCAGAAGAACAAAAAGAGAACTCACAGATGGAGCAAAACATTTTAGCAATGAGTTATCAGACAAGAGAGTAATCTCCAACATTTGTCACTCACACTCACAGAGATAGTTAAGTTTTATTGTGCCAACCTGGTTGATAAACTCGTGTGGGATTAACTAAAAGACAGAGAGATAAGTGGCTTGGTGAGCCTTGTCTTCTAGTTCTCAGGTCTCTTGCTTTCTGATGGTCAGACCAGGGTGCAGCTGCCTTAGCCAGTTCCCTGCTTCAGCTTGCAAGGCTCACTTCCTGCAAGACATCCCCAAGGAGAAGCCACATGGACCTACCCTGATGCAGCCCTGGGTGCTGGAGCAGCCATATGGAGACCCCTGCCAGCACTGAGATGCTTACATGTTCACTGATTCAGCTTTCCTCCTGCAGTCGGCATCATTGCGTGTGTTTTGTGAGATGGAGGAGGACTTTGTGGATTGGTGTCAGACATATGGGCTAATGTTAGACTTATGGGTTGGAGAGCACTGGGTTGGGATGCTTTCTTAATGTACACTTGCCCTTTATATAAAACTCTCTCTTACACATATGGGTTTCTATGGATTCATTTTTCTAATGTACCTAGACTAACACACTCACTCACAACTCAGAGTGACCCTATAGGATAGAGTAGAATGCCCCCTGTGAGTTTCCAAGACTGTAACTGTGGAGAGTAGAAAGCCCCTCTTTCTCCCACGGAGTGGCTGCTAGTTTCAAATTTTGGACCTTGTGGATCGCAGTCCAACTAGTATTCACTATACCACCAGGACTCTCTTCTCACATTTACAGAAAGCTTTACTACCTCAAAAAGAAAAAAGACAAAATGAAGGGAGACGCCGGACAGGGCAAAATATGACAAAATAACAATTTATAACCTATCAAGGGCTCATGAGGGAGGGGGGAGCGGGGAGGGAGGGGGAAAATGAGGACCTAATACCGGGGGTTTAAGTGGAGAGAAAATGTTTTGAGAATGATGAGGGCAATGAATGTACAAATGCGCTTTACACAATTGATGTGTGTATGGATTGTGATAAGAGTTGTATGAGCCCCTAATAAAATGATTTTAAAAAAAAAGACAAATAACCCAATTTTAAAATGGGCTGTGGACAAGAACAGGCACGTCAGCCAAGAAGACTGGTTAGGTGGCCACAAAACCTGAAGAAATGCTCCTGATCATTAGTCATGGTTGTTGGGTGGCATTGTTGTTAGTTGGCTCCAACTCACAGGAACTCTGTGTACAACTGCCTGGTCTTGGGCAATCCTCACAACTGTTCTTATGTTTGAGCCCATTGTTGCAAGTGTGTCCATTCATCTCATTGAGAGGTGTCCTGTTTTTTGCTGCCCCTCCACTCAAGCATGAGGTCCTTACCAAGGATTGGTCTCTCCTGACAATACATCCAAAGTATATGAGGTCAAATCTCACCATCCTTGCCTCTAAGGAGCATTCTGGCTGTATTTTTTCCAAGACAGATTTGTTTGTTCTTTGGTAGTCCATGGTACTTTCCCTATTCCTCGTCAGCACCATAATTCACATGCATGATTAGTCATTAGAGATATGCAAATCAAAACAAAAGTGAGTGTTCACATACTCCAATGATCACAGTCAAGCTTTAATGACATTTGTTATTTCTCTTACTCATCTACATTTATTAATTGTGTCTTTATAGGGTTTTAATGAATTTTTCTGTAAAGAAGGGTCCTTTCTTCCCTCTTTATTTATGTATTCAGTCATTTATTTATATGATAATACAAGGGATTTTTAATTTTTACTTAAAAGAATAAGTTCATTAGAACCACAATTCGCTTTTAACTAGAATAAGCATCCCTCAAACAAATGAAACACCATGAGTGATATGCATTTTGATATCTGGATTTGCTGATCACAGTGATTAGAGCAGTTGTCCCTGCTTGAGAGATGGTGCCATCACCCACCCAAATGGTCCTGGGGCCCCACTCACTGTAACCCATGAGGATGAGTGCTCCTATCAGCATGATCATAGTCTGCACCGCATCCGTGTAGATCACAGCAGCCAGGCCACCTGGGGAGATGAGTCATGCAGGAGTTACACCAGATAGAAAAGGTCAACAGCTGAGAAGATTTCTTAGTATTGATCTTTTTCCCCAAAGATGGCCAAAATAATCCTGTATGCATGCCCATTTTCCTTTCATGTTAATATAAAGTTTCTCCCTCAAATTCTGGAATATGGATTTAGCCACGTGACGTTACTTGACCAATAGAATTTGACCAATAGTGTGTTGTGCAGCTTTGAGCCTAGACTTCAAGGACCCCTATAACCTTTTCCCTCACTATCTTGTATTCCCAAGGCAATCATACTTCAAGAAGCTTGATAGCTTAACCGAGGATGAAGGCCCCCTTGGAGAGAACTGAAGGCAACAGCCTAAGCTAATCAGCAGCCTTGTGAATAAAGTCATCTCCGTCCAGCCAGCTATACACTATCTGCTGGGTCAATTCCAACTCATCAACAACCCTACATGTATCACAGTAGAACGAGGCACTCAACAGGGCTTTCAAGGCCTGCCTTCTGAAGTAGCTTTGGATGCGTTTGAATCACCAACTTTTTGGCTAGTAGTCAAGCACTTAACTATGGGTACCACCCAGAAATATATATAGAATGGAATGAGGTAAATCACCCCAAGAGAAGGCAGAGAGGGCTGAAACCGAAGAGGGTGAATACTCAAAATCAGCTCTTTTGTTCAGGGCTTACTTTGTGTTAGGCACTGGTCAAGGCTGCAAGTCTAAAGTGAAAGAGGCTATCAGACTTCAGGCTCCAAACTTGCAGTAGTTAATTTTCTAGCTTTGAATAGTGTATAGGGCTGCACATCCTCAGCACTTAGTAGTCTTTAATAAATAGTTCTTGAATGAATAAATAGAAACTAGCTTTGTATAGTTGTGTGTTTTGAAGTTTTCTCTCTGATCAGACGACCCTCTTAATATAATGGCCTAGTGAAATCATATGTATCTGGGGACAGTGGAGTAAAGAGTTAGTCATACCTGCAATAGTGTATACAGCTGTAATGGCCAACAGCCCTACTATAGCCAGGTAGAGGTCCAGGTGCAAAGACTGCTGAATAAAGATGGCACCTGCATACATATCCACCTGTAGAGACATCAAGTTGATGGACGAATCAGTACGTGAATGAATGGGCATTTGTTGCTTGGGTCCCCTAAGACAAGAGGACAGCCTTGGTTCTGGAAGGCACATAAAAGCCATTTATTGTCCTTTCTTCATTCATCAAGAGTTTCAAACTGGAATCCTGTGGGCAATTAAGTTTGAGACCTCTGCCTTAGGCTTTCACTGGTCTTGCTTTTACTCTTAAGACCTGGCATCCTCTACACGGCAACCTTTGTCAAAGAAATCATAACCAAGTCTTCTTCCTCCCCATCATAATTATCTAGTGCATCCAATTGCCCCCAAGATAAATTCTAAACTCTGTGATTTGCCTGTCTCTAGGCTCACATTTCCTTGACTCACTTCATATTTCAAGGGTCCTGCAGGTACTCTGAAGAGTCCTTGTTCCCTTACCCAACTCAAGTTCATTCAAGCCTCTAAGCTTTTGCTTGTGTTTGTCCATCTTTCTAGAATTCCAACCCCCACTTTCCCCTAATTAGTAAGTGCTGACCTAGATGTAACTTCTCTGGTGAAGGCTTCCCTGCATATACACCTTCCTATCAGACTGTGGTAGAGCATTCTAGAAAAGAGCCTGTGTCTCTGCCCCTCATATGTGGAGCTGGCACAGTCCCAGTTATTGCTGTTCAGGTTGCGTGGAGTCCCCTCTGTCCTTCTACCCTGCCTTCTTTCTCAGCTGAGAGAGAAGGTAGCCTCAGTATAAGTCAAGCTGCCTGGGAGGCACATGCTGGAGACTGCAAAGCATCTACTCTTTACTACTTTCCCTACCTGCCAATGCGAAGTTCAAGCTGGAGCAAATCTGATTGATCCCAGGAGGAAGACAATGACGCTTGAAGTCTCATCAGTGGCCTACACCATTTAGAGATGTTGTCAAAGAATCTTTGGGAGGTGGTGTCCTTCCCTGTACTTTTTCTACCCATGTTCACCCTTCACACACTCCTATCTCCCTCTAGAAAGAAGCTGTTCTCCCCTTTCCAAAAGTTGGCCAAGAGAAGAAAGTGGTGAGGAGGATATTCCCAACCCCCAGCATGGAGTGTGATTTTTCTGCATCCATGTGGCCACGCTATGCCCCCACCTTACCGAGATCTTGGTGAAGATGTATATAAACAGGTAGAGCACAGCCAAAATGATGGGAATCCTGTTGCCACCAAAGCGTTTCCTTAGGTATTCTGGCATCGTGTTGACCTTGGGCCAAAGCAGAATTTTAGCACACAGGTGAACACAGGTACCTGGCCTCCCCAGCACCAGCCCCTCCCACTTGCTTCTTTTTCTGAAAACTCAAAATAGTCTTCCTAGGGATTAAAAATTGGGACCTTAATAAGGGAGCAGAAAATAGTGCAAGAAGGTAGGAGTTGGGGTTCTACATAGATGTGTGTAACTCATTGACACAGTTCTCAAGGCAGGTGTGTATGCCCATCACCATTCTGCTATATCCTGTATTTTTTTTACTGGTATATTAATTTAAACCAAACTCACACTTACTTAAATAAACTTATCTAAATGGAAACTAAATCATCATGTAATGGAAAACAGAATCACCTGCCCTAAATTTAAGAGAACCAACGAGAATAAAATGCATAGATAATAAAGCTACTGTATATACTCGAATATCAACGGAGGCACCTAATTTTACCACAAAAACTGCATTAAAATTGCTGAAAAACTCAGCTTATACGTGAGTATATATGGTATGTTCTAGGATTTGGAGGTAATTTACTACTGCATACCAAAGGCTCTCGGCTCAGGGCTTCTCAGGCTTCCATTTAAAAAGGAAGGGGGGAAACAGGAAGGAAAATGGGGTGAGTTGTTAGAGAAGTGGGAGAGAGGTGGTAAAGGCATCCTAGCACCAACAGGAGAGTGTCCCCTCGAAATAATGGAAAGGGACTAATTTCATTATGTAACTCAGTGTGCATGGTCCAACAACTATCTGACACCTAATCATGTCAACTATCTCTGTTGGTCTATGCTCCAAACTTTGGGGAAATTGTTTTAGTCTAACGCATTAATTCTAGGAATAGAATGAGCTGGCTCCAGAAAGCACAGAGTGGCCAAGGACCTCTTTCCCCCATTAAATTGTGGGGTAGCTCCCTCAAACCCTAGGCAGGAGGAGTTATTACCATCTTTCAATCCTCGGTCTTCCCTGGGTTTCCCCTCCACCTCTCCCCACACAGGGAGAGATTTATTATTTGGCCTCTACATTTGGGGGGTGAGGGAGTTAAGGATGTACTTTCCCAATCTTATCACCCTCACCACTCCCAAATTTGGGTTGAGAAACTGTGGTTTCTTGATGTTGGGGTCTCAAATCAATGGCTAGTCTTCCATAAGATACTAGAAGCTGGATGGAAAGTACTGAATAATGATTATAATTATACTTTCAAGAATGTTTGCAGCCCACACAAGGAAAGAGACTAATGGGTACTCAGTGAGGAGCTAACGAACGATAAACTGGTTGTGCCGAGGCCAGGCTATAGAAACAGAAGAATCTGGTGGTGATTGATGAAGAAATTGGAAGAAGAGACTGGGAGAGATTAGAGGCTATACTTGCTTCAAAAATAATAAAACAGTAATAGAATTAGGGTGGTGGCTCAAGGTGTGTTCGGTGTAACATTATTTAAAATTTCATGTAACTGAAATTTTCAATAATAAAATATTGGGGGAAATGAACTCAGGAATAAAGGGACATTTTTAGAAAGAAAAATAAGAACAAAACAAAAAAATAAAAACAAAAACACTGGCTTCCCAAAAGGACCATTTTGGATCATGAACCTCCTAAATGTCTTGCCTCAACCTTTGATTTAATGCAAGGCACCTTCAGCAGGAACTTTCTAGAATTGTACTGAACTCTGAATTCCCTCAAGGAATCATAAATGGAGAGATTCAACCAAACCTTCCTGAACATGTGCTGTAACTCCTGATGAGAGAATTCAATGTGAGAACATTACTCCATTGGGATAAATGTACCAAAGGAGACACTCCTTAGAGCTTATCTGCGAAGGACAATGAGGTTTGGATGAAAGTGAGATTCCTGTTACTGATTGACAGTCTTTATTAGCCATTGACCTTTGTTCAATCTGCAAAGAGTGGCACATCTTCAGCTTCCACACTTAAGATGTAGAGAGGTAGAGAGGAAAGATGACGGACGTCAGCCCAAAGCAAGCAGCGCTGGGATCCAGAAGTCAGATTCTGGGAAGAAACGTGAAGCTAGATGCCAGATGGAAGGCAGTGGCTTGCAGAGTTGTGAGGCAGGCAGAGAGAAAGAACACAGAGTTCCTCCATAAATGTATGCTTATGAGCATTCCTGCACGAGTATGCAAATGTTCACAGTGGCACCGTCCATCCTAAGTTAGCCCTGGAGAATGGCCTAAATGTATCTCTACGAAAGAATGAAGAAGCCTATTTGGATGCACTCAGGCCATGAAATACTATTGAGCAATGAAATGCAAACACCAGGTACCCACAGCAGAATATGGGACCCCTGCTTCCATCTAAGTACAATTAAACTTAAACTGTTGCTTAGGATTGTGTTCAATCATAATAAAAATGATTGCAAAGTGAATCAATCATGTTTTGATCTGCACATTTGTGCTTCATGTACTTTTCTGGGTGTTTGTGCAGGCATTGCAGGGCAGTAATGAAACCCAAAGGTCATCAATTCAAAGCCACCAGCTGTTCTGCAGGAGAAAGATGTGGGAATCTGCTATCTGTAAATATTTACAGCCTTGGCTATCCTATGGGGCAGATCTGCTCTGTCCTATAGGGTTGCTATGAGTCAGAATCTACTCAATGACAATGAGTTTTGTGTGTTAATTTTATTTCACAGTATAACAAAAAGTTAATTGGATAGCTTTCATTTTTTGGTCAACATACCAGAACTTATTGTCTGGTATGGTCTTAATCTCATCGTTAGTATTTGCAAGATGCTAGTCAAAGAGTCTTCGCTGTTCTGCATCTTCAGGTTGATTTCAACTCATCGTGATACCATAGGACAGACGGTGACTGCCCCCTAGGTTCTCCAAAGCTGTAATCGGTGGATGACAGATCGCCAATTCTTCTCTCCAGTGGAGTGAATGATGGGTTGAAACCTTTGCCTTTTGGTTTGCAGCTGAGTGCTGAACTACTACCAACACAGCTCCTGAAAGGATGTCTCACTCGCTGTCATGGCGTCCACGCTGACTCACAGCAACGTCCTGTGGGATTCCAAGACAGTAACTGCTGACGAGAGTAGGAAGCCCAGTCTTTCTCCCAGGAGTGGCTGGTGGTTTCCAACTGACGACCGTGCGGATCGCAGCCCAGCGCATAACCACACACCATGAGGGTGCCTGCCAAAAATGTCTAGACTCTAAACATTTTTCTTTTCTTTCTTTTCAAAAAAATAAAAAAAATTTTTTTTCTTTTCTTTAATCATTTTATTGGGTGCTCATACAGCTCTTATCACAATCCATACACCCATCTATTGTGTCAAGCACATTTGTGCATATGTTGCCATCATCATTTTCAAAACATTTTCTTTCTACTTGAACCCTTGGTATCAGCTACTCATTTTTTCCTTCCCTCCCTCGTGAATCCTTGATAATTTATAAATTATTATTATTTTTTCCTGTCTTACACTGACTGATGTCTCCTTTCACCTATTTTTTTTGGTGTCTCTCCCCATGGAAGGAGGTTATATGTAGATCTTTGTGACCGGTTTCCCCTTTCTCCCTCACCTTCCCCTTCCCCACCTGGTATAGCTACTCTCATGATTGGTCCTGAGGGGTTATCTGTCCTGAGGAGTTATCCTGGATTCCCTGTGTTTCCAGCTTTATCTGTACCAGTGTACATGCTCTGGTCTAGCCGGACTTGTAAGGTAGAATTGGGGTCAGGATAATAGCGGGGAGGAGCATTAAAGAACCAGAGGAAAGTTGAATGTTTCATCGGTGCTATACTGCACCCTGACTCTTCTCTTCCTTGTGACCCTTCTGGAAGAGGATGTTCAATTGTCTACAGATGGGTTTTGCGTCTCCACTCCACACTCCCCCTCATTCACAATAATATGATTTTTTTGTTCTGGGTCTTTGATGCCTGATACCTGATCCTATCAGCACCTCATGATCACACAGGCTGGTGTGCTTCTTGCATGTGGGTTTTGTTGCTTCTCAGCTTAATGACTGCTAGTTTATCTTCAAGCCCTTAAGACCCCAGAGGCCATATCTTTTGAAGCCGAGCATCATCAGCTTTCTTCACCACATTTGCTTATGCACCTGCTTTGTCTTCAGCGATCATGTCAGGAAGGTGAGCATCACGAATGCCAGGTTATTAGAACAGTGTTCTTGCATTGAGGGAGAACTTGAGTAAAGGCCCAATGTCTGTCTGCTACCTTAATACTTAGCATAATAAATATATGTACATAGATCTATTTCCCTATCCTTATATATAAACAATCTGGAGGAGAAAACAGCGGGACTAACAGTTCCGGGGGGGATATGGAAGAATTTTTCATTTAATTATATATCTTGGTTGTTCTTGCACAGCAACACAGATCTGTAGACTCTGTCCCTTTTTCACAGCTGCATGTTATTCCACACTGTGGATGCACCAGCCCTGATGGATGTACATTTTGGTTATCCCCAGGTTTCCCTATCACAACTATAGCAACTCTTTCAAATCTTTGTCCCTCTTCTCATTTTCCAACCTTGTGAGTTCCCTTTTCATTCTCAGCAGGTGGTACTATCTTCTTCTTGCCAGAAAAAAAATGAGGGTGGGAAGAACATCAGCTGAGAAGTTTCAACAACCCTACCTACCACCTAACCTTCATAGCCATCATCCTTTCTCCTCCCTAAGTAGACCACTCAGTAAATCCATATTGACCCTTGGACTCCAGGATCCTTACTCCAAGATACTTTATGTACATGGGAGTGAGACACAAGTGGGGGTAGAAAGATCCAGGCTCCTCATTCACAAGACGCCTGAGGTCTAGATTCTTCAATGGGGCTATTTGTTATATTCAAATGAGATTATTTATCCATACAACACTGTCCTTTACACAGAACTGTACACCTGGCCAGGAGCCCTGGGGCATAGTGGTGATACATTGGGCTGCTCATTGCAAAATTGGCAGTTCAAAAACACCTGCTGCTCCTCTGGAGAAAGATGAAGCTGCCTACTCTCGCATAGCATCTCAACCTTGGAAATTCACAGAGGCTGTTCCACGCTGTGCTTACAGGGTCACTGTGAGTCAACACAGATTTCATGGCAGCGAGTTTGAGGTTTTTCAGTTTATATTACATGGCATAGGCCATGAAATGACTTTTAAAGTGATTTCTCTGTTCTTTCCTGAATAAGCAATTAAAAGAGCTTATTGCTTTACTACAAACAGCATGGTGATATCGTATGTCGCATTGTCCTGTGTGGTGGAGCACTGAAAATTAGAGGAATGGAAAAAGAAAATGCAGAGAGAAAGTGGAATAATAGCACTACACTGAGGGGGTTACAATCAAGGAGATGACACAAAATGTGTACAAACGGTTGCATGTAAAATTGGTTATTTCCACTAAATCTTTGCCCACAACAGTTTTTTAAATAAAATGAAATGGAATCAGGCCTAGTGAGTTTAATGACACAAAGTTGTCAACAAGATTACAACTAATTTATTAGGCTTTTTTTTCCACCCAAAAAAAAACGTCTAAAACATTATTTGGTCACAAAAATGCTGGCATTTCACATTAGTTTTTTAAAAATGCCTTGATTATTGTAGTTTTGTGTGAAGAAGGCAGGGAGGAAGCATGATTCTTTTTTGTCTTAAAAAGTTTCGGTTATGGTCTAAATATTTAAAAGAGACTGCACATTTTATGCTTACGTTTTGGCATTAAGCTTTTTTTTTTTTTTTTGAGCCTGTGCTGTGTGCAGCCTCTGAAAAGGGTCATGAACATCTTCGGTGTTGGTTTCTGAGCGGGCGCTGGGCTCCTACCTTCCCCCAGTCCCCATCAGTGCTCTTGGTATCTATCTAATGGCAGGAAGGCAGGGGCGATGGTGGGAGGAAGAGTTTTACCTTCCCAAAAGGTTTCCTCCTCCGCCCAGCTCCCAGCATCCCTCAGACTCACCTGGCCAGCAATATAGATAGGGAGGAAGATCCAGGACAACATCAGGACAAAGAATAAGCCCTGTCGGAGAAGACAGAATCAGGTCAGGTCCCAGTGCACACCAAGGTGGCGAGGTGGATTTGCTTCTGTGCCCTAGGCTCACCTGACCTGACTTCTGCCTCTGCCTCTTCTCTTCCTGGCTAAGTGGCTTACATGTCTTGGGCTTCGTATATCCATTTGTAACATGGGGGGAAGAGACTTATCATAGGGGACAGTGGAAACGGGACCCTTTGTGACTCTGTCTACTTCTGTGCTCTTAAACTCTCCATGTCAACCCCCTTCCTTCGGTTACCCTCGCTCCTCTCCTTGGCAGTGTCTAAAACGCAGGCTACAAGGTCAGGCATATTGGGCTCAAAGACTGGGTACGAGGACAGATTGCACATGTCTTATTCCTCTTTTCTGGGAAATGGGAGGAAGAGGGTCTGACTGGATTAGTGTGCGTAATTGGTGAGATGCTATCTACTAAGGGCTTTATAAACCAAGCCCTCCTCCATACCCGTGGCAAGCATTAATTTGTTTTTACACAAGCTTATACGTTTAAAAATGAATGGTTAAAAAGTAATAATAATTTATAAATTATCAAGGGTTCATGAGGGAGGTGAGAGTGGGGAGGGAGGGGAAAAATGAGGAGCTGATACCAAGGGTTCAAGTGAAAAGCAAATGTTTTGAGAATGATGATGGCAACAAATGTACTTGACACAATGGATGGATGCATGGATTGTGATGAGTTGTATGAGCCTCCAATAAAATGATTTAAGAAAATAACAACCACGAAGGGTTCAAAGATTTTTCACTAAGTTCCTCAGAGCCATGCAGTTTGTAAGGGTTGGGAGCCAGGATGAGAATTTGGGCGATCTGGTTCTAGTCTGCCAACAAAATATCATTCTACGAAATGTATTTATGTCTGTGCCTAGGCAAGATAAAGCACTTAAAAATGCTAATCATTGTGAATTGAAGATCATTATTAATATGTTCACCCTGCTTCCCAGCAGAAATTATATCCTAAATAAGGTCTATACATAGGGGGATGGTCCTATCTCAGGGGGTTCCTATGGGGCAGCAAAAAGGTTAAGAGCCATCAAGCTACATAGCTTTAGCAATGACCAACTGATGTCAAAAATGCACAGAAGTAATTTCTGGCCTCATGATTTCTTTTCTATTCTGAATCTGCAAGAGAAATGTTCTGAGCCCTCATCTCCATGCCTGGTTGTTGAGACTGTGGGTTTATGGGACCCCAAGAAACAAAGGACACCCAGGGCTTGCAGAACAAGACTGTCTTTTCCTTACCAGGGACTCCTTGCTTGTTTTTTATTTTTCGAAAGCACCATTCTATGGTTAAAAGTGTAAGACCCTCATATAACTTTCTGCTTACTCACATTAAATTCATAAGCAGCTACAGAAATGCCCGCAGCAGCTCCTGACCCTGCCAGGCCAATGAAATGTCCGCTTCCAACATTGCTGGCAAATAGCGAGGCACCCACCTGTGGGAAGATGAACAGGTCAGATGTTGGGGCCTGGGTCTGGAGTACCTGTTCTTTACCTCTGGAGGAACTGTAACTCTTTTTCCCCCTGAGACTGTAACTCTTAATGGGAGTAGAGAGCCTCATCTTCCTCCCTCAGAGTGGTTGGTAGTTTCAAACTGCTGATCTTGAGGTTAGCAGCCTAACACATAAACCACTCACCATAGACAGGGTTAATGACACAAATCAGGAAGCCTATGTTACTCCATAGTTCCACTTGTAACTTCGAGTAGATACCCCTTTCCTCCTGGTTGGTTACAAGGAAGTTACAAGGATTTAAAATTAGGCAAATACGTTAAAAAAACGTTAAATACGTTAAAAAATGAATGGTTAAAAAGTAATAATAATTTATAAATTATCAAGGGTTCATGAGGGAGGTGA